CTCACCCTTATTTTCCTTTTGCCCCAATTTCTTCTAGTATCTATTTAATCCTGTGTCATTGCATGTGTTCCGTAAGCCAACACAAATCCTTTCCACAGCAAAGCAGGGCAAATAAATTAAATGGTCATAATCTCTAGTAATCACTTGGTAAACCATTGGCGGGTGGGGTGTGAGGGGAGCAGACTCAGCACAAGGGGCTCCCAGACCAGGAGACCAGTTGCCTGAAGGAATTCTTGATACTCCCCAGGAAGCACACCTGAAGCGCACCACAGCCAGCCGCTGCACTAGACAGTGCCAAAGGCACCGCCAAGACAGAGGGGGCCACCAGAGCAGCCCCCTCCTGGTGCAACATCCACCCCCATTGGTGTGAGTTCCAGGAGTTCAAGCTGGTGCTGATGTGGGTTTCTACCACCCCAAGAACATGGGCAAATCAGAGGATGATGAGGCTTTCTATTCTGTCTGCCTTCCTTCCTCTTTTCTTTAAGAACAGGGATGCTGGCAGCTAAGCCGCCAAAGACTCCCGGGCACCTGGAAACACGGGACTTGTTCATGGTGCATCAAGACAGCTGCACTGTGGCTGTGGACACTGGCTCAGGGAGCTCTCAGCAAGGAGGCCGAGAACACTGAACTGGGCATCCCCTCCTTCTCTCGCTGGCCCTAGATGAGGCCAGCACAGGGAAGGAGAGACAGGGAAGTATAGAAGATCTGGTTCCAGAACGTCGAGTGCCCACAGTCAGCAGCAGGGCCTCCACCTTGACTCACAGGAATGACTTTTCATCCTCATCTGTTACCTTTGATGTGGGTTCCTACCACCCCAAGAGCTTCTGCAATTTCTCTCCGGCCTGTTGACACAGTGGCCAGTCTAGCAGAACATGACACGGTGGAAACCTGGGGAGAAAGCTGGATGGCAGGTGGGCTGCTCACACCCAGGCTCCAGTTCAGGCCAGCTGCCATCTCTGTGTGATCTTGGGCAAATCCCTCAGCCCCATAAGCCTGAGAGGCCTCCTCCAGACTGCACAGCTTCCACCCACCCACAAGAGTCCCAAGCACTGACGACAAGTCAGGATCACATGAGGACAGCCAACGTGGGCAAGTCTCAAGAGGCCCCGGCCTTGGGTAAGGAGGGCAGCCAGCATGCCACGGACTACAAAACCATGAAGTCAGCCTGAGTGCCAGGTGGGCCAGACAGCTGACTGCCATAAGCACGGTGCCCGCCACAACAATGCCCGTGCGCATCTGCAGCCCAAATTTCTCTCAAATCTAGACCTCTCGGACCTTCTGGATGCCTCGACTTGCATGTCTAGTAGACACTGGCATGTCCAGAATTCAACCCTCCTCCAACCTGCTACAACCACAGCCACCCTCACCTCAAGTGATGGCAGTTCCATAGTCCTAAGAGTTGCCCTTAATGCTTCTCTCACCTTTCTCACCACCAGTCCTCCAGCAACTCCTGTTGGCTCCTCTTTACAAAATACTCAGAACCTGGACACTTGCCAGGCCTCCACAACCCCATCCAGGTCCAGGGTCCCAACAACTCCCACCTGGATTAAGGTAGTGGCCCCCCTGACCAGACTCTCAGCTCCTACCCTGTCCAGCCCCAACCCCCAAAGTCCAAGGGATCCCCTAGCCCTCCTCTTCCTTAACTCAAACCAAGTCCCTTCCCAGTTCAAAACCTTTCCATTTTCCTACCTCACTCTGAAAAAAAGCCAAAGGAACTTTTGGTGTAGACCCAGAAGGCCCAACACCAGTCTACTGAACATGTGGTCTGTGCAACTTAAGTAGAAACAGTGGAAAAAAGTATTGAAAAAAATTTATGGCAATTTGACACTGGTACAGTATCCAAATACTGACACAAAAGCACCCAACTGGATGGAGTAGGAGTGCAAGGAATGCTCCCCACCTGGCCCAGGTCCACCTCTGCCATGCTTCACCCCAACTCACTTGCCACACTCCCTGACTCAGCACCAGTCTCGCCAACCACCTTTCTAGTCCTCAAACGCCCTGAGTCACTCCCACCTCAGGGCGTTTGCACAGCTGCCCTTCTACCCTGAAGGCTCTTCCCTTCCTCCACACAGCTCACTCCTCCTCTTTCAATCTTTGCTCCATTAATACTGCAAACCATCCTCCCTAATCCCCATAAAAACACTCAAAGGGGCTGTTTGCGCTTTTGCTGTTTTCCAGAGCACCCATCACAGAACATACTGGATAATTTATGTTTTTCTTTCCCACAAGGGCAGGGGGCTCTGCTCTGTGCTTAGCACAAGTGCCTGGTGCACCAGGGAAACTCCATAAATACTTGTGGAGGAGGGGTTGTGGGAGCCTGGAGTACAGGGGGGCAGGCTCCAAAGGGTAAAGCCTGAAACTACTGACAGAAGTCAGCAGGCTCGAGAAGGTCTGCAACGCTTCTGTGAACAGGAGGACCAAAGAATGAGGGTAGGAGACAGAGCTGGAGGAGGGTGATTGAGGTTCACCAGGGAAGGCTCTGTCTGCCATGGCAAATGCTCTGGGATGGAGTCTGCAGGAAACCCAAACATCTAAAGGAGATTTCTGAGACGCAGGACCAGAGCACTCTTTTTTTTAAAAAAAAGAGGGAGAATGGACAGTACTGGGAGAGGCTGACAACAAGGACACCAAGCAGAAGGTTGGCACTGAGGTAAGGCCACAGAACAAGATGAAGGACAGAGTTCAAGGGACTCCCCAAGTCAGATCTACAGCTGTATGGGATGTAAGACAGAGGGAGGAGGCACAGGGAGAAGAAATTATATGAGGCACATGAAAGGAAGCATTCCTCAAAAATCTTCACGATTACGAGGCCTTCCCGGCTATGGCTGCTCTCGTGGGAAGGGGCTTCTCAGCAGCCTGCCTCCCCTGCCCCTGTGAGATCTGGGGTCTCAAGGGCGTCCCTCACAAACAGCTTACATCTTTCCAGACTGTTTTCTGAATGGCTGGCATCATTCTGACCTCTCTACTGCTGGATTTCAAGCAGTGTGTGCCAAGCAAATCTACAAGTATGCATATATCAAGCACCTACCTTATACTCAACACTTTATGTGGCACCGAGAAAGAACAGAAAAGAAACATGGATCCTGGAGCCACTCCCCGCCCCCCAACAGCCCCCAGCCCTGTGATGGAGGGGGATGTGAGATTTGAAGATGCATATACCAAACAGTTATGCAACTCCATGTAACATTTGTCTGCTCAAAACTCATCTGGAGCATAAGAAATTATCAGAGCCGGGCTTGGTGGCTCAGCCTGTAATCCGTGCCTTTGGGAGGCTGAGGTGAGTGGGTTGCCTGAGCCCGCAGGTTCAAGACCCACCTGGGCAGCAACACCTCATCTCTACAATAAATCAAAAAATCAGCCGGGCGTGGTAGCATATGCCTGTAATTCCGGCTACTCGGAAGGCTGAAGCGGAAGGATCGCCGGAGCCCAGCAGGCAAGGCTGCAGTGGCCAGAAGCGGCCACTGCACTCCAGTCTGGGTGACAGAGTGAGACTCCAACTCAAAAAAAAAAAGAAATTATCAAAGAAAAAACATTTATTTTTATCTTTAACTCACACCAAAGCTGAAGGAGAGGAGAAATCCACACAGACTATATACCTAAGCAACTCGCCTGGTTGGAGGGGGCAGGAGCAGCATCCAAATGGGGGAACAAAGGTTCAGAGGCAGGACCTGAGACAGGCCACAGCAGAGAACACAGCTGGGCGGCAGCACCGGCAAGCCTGGTTTTAATATGCAAATGTCTCAGGAAAGTCAGCCCACCAACGGGAGAGCTGGAGGGCCAGGTGAACACAACATCAACCACAGAGGCTCAGAACAGACCAAGCCAATTACTGAATGGGTAGAACATAGGAAAAAACTAAGGGGGAGCTTATGGAGCTCTGCAGGAACCTGCTGGGGACAGCACTTGAACACCTGGAGGCAGAAACAGGCATGGAACTCAAGCGCCTTCAGGGTGACCCTTCAAAACACGCTGTGACCATTTACTTTCCTTACAGTGAAAAGTCATCCTCCTTACATTTCTAACCAAAATCCTGTATAAACTGCTCAGGGAAGACAGGAGGACAAAGGAAAATACCCCAGAGCTAAATATAGTGATTGCACAAATACCCAAGTAAAACAAGCTGTAATATTAATGAGGCATGAATGAACAGTGACTGTTTCCAGGGCTGCATAAAAACCGGCCAACTTATCGGGGAAGTCGCACAAAAGCTCTCTGTCATGCCCCTTCTGGTAAGAGTAGGAGAGAACAGACAGCTGTCTTCTCTGTGGCAGGGACCCCACTTGGGACCAAGGTAGATTAAACAGAGAGCATTTTCTTAGAGGCAACAGTGGAATCTGTTTCCAGTTTAACCTGCAACAGTTGTAGACTCTGACCAGGATACATTATTAATTAGTCAAAAGAGAAGCCCCATTTTTTAGTTATCCATTGAATTAGGTATCTTGAAACACATGACCTAGAATTGACAGTACAGCTAACTCTCTGTTTTCCATGGTAATGGGGATTTCAGAAAGGACACCAGTTAACTGGGAGGCAAAACAATCCCATTTTATGCTCAGCAAGGCATACATGACGGTGTTAAAGATGATGGCTTCCTATGACCATCCACTGAGGGTCTTGTATTTGCCTGGTGTTGTGAGGCTTAAATCACACATCTCTGGTTCAGCAAGCCAAGTGGTCTGACCACGAGTGGACCTGGCAGGCAGCAAAGCCCCCTTCAGTTTGTCAGGGCATGGGGCCATAACCCCAGTGCCTCACCCAAAGAGCAGCTCTCCTGCTAAACCTTCGGTAGAACTTTAAGCAAGTGGTCTATGACGTGGTTGTGGGAACAGAGCACAGCCAGGCCACAAGAGAAGAAGAAAGAGCTTCTGGGTCCACTGGAGGCTGGACCACCAGGCCTGAGGAGACAGGGAGAGAGTTGGCTGTACTGGCATGGCAAGCACACCCCCAGCAAGCTGTCCAGCATTTCTAGGAAGGAGAAAAGCAAACCGCCGTCCCACCTCGGGCTGCGCGGTCACAAGTGAGGCAGGGCTGGGACCAGTCGCCATTTGGGCGGGAGGCCGGCCCCAGGTGCGGCAGGAAGGGGTGGCGCTGGCTCAGTGGCTGCAGCTCCTCACTCTGACCCAGCGGAGCCCCTGTGCGGTGCTGGGGGCACAGCGAGGCCTCGGGCGCTGTTGGGCAGGGACACACACACACACAGAGAGAGACACGCCATTAGAGGATGGAGCAGCAGCCCCTGCAGGAGGTGTGGGTCAAGGCCACTCAGGGTCCTGCCTCGCCCACAGCCCACTGCACTCAGCAGCTGTGCAAAGCCCGCTGACCACATTCTAACCCTGAACATGCAGCTCAAGCAGAAAGTCTGAGGGAACCACAAACTTCACCGCTGGGACTGTGGCAGCATCATCTAGCCCCAGCAGGACCTGCAGCTGGAGGCCTTGAACTCGGTGTAAGAAAGAGAGCCCAATTAAACTAATAGGCCTGCACCCCCACTGTCTTGTCCCTGCATCTGCAAAGTTCCACAAATTGTTCATGGAACATGATGCTATTTCAGCTCCTTGCTTTGTATCCTCTGGCTCCAGAAGAACAGCGACTGTGAAAAGCCATGTAAAGAGAAGAGAAACTCCCCTTGGCCTGCACTGCAACCACAGCCACACCTGACAGAGGAAGCCAAGGCAGGTTAAGACCAACTCAATCCAAAGGGAACCTTTCTGGGGAATGGCGAGAGGATCCTTGAGAGAAATAAAACAATTTCACTTTTTTTTTTTTTTAAAGCAGGATTTATTGAGAGGACAGAAAAGCTCCCACAGTGGAAGGGGACCGAGGGGGTTGCCCAGAATTTCACTTCTTAAAGTACAATCTTCATTTTTTGGTGCAACTTAATCCTGAGGGAGACCTCTGGAGATTAAGGGTAAATGATTTTCAAGTGGTTTCACCAAGGTCACAACCTTTGCGTATGCAAAACAGTTAAAAACTAAGGAGGAAAATGACAATAACTAGATATGGACAAGAAAACGCTGACCTGCTCCAAGCTTGATAATAACAGAATTCCTAGAGGCAGGAAGTCAGACTTTAATATGCAAATCTCACATCTGACACATTTCTCAAAATGTGACAGTACAACGTCAGATTGAAACCTGCCAAAGCAGGAAACATTCGTAAGTGGTCTGGTAACAGAACCACTGACTAAGCAAGGGTTAACCAAGGTTGGCCAAACTCCAACTTCCTCTAAAAAGTTTTCTGTTATGCTGACATATTGTTACTGATTCCAAAAAGAAAGAGTATGGGGCTCTGCGCTTTTGTTTTTGCAGTCAGACGACATAACCTCTGCAACTCCTCACACCCCATCCCTGCTCTGCTCCCCAAAGGCCAACTAGGGCCACCTGCTTTCTGAGTGTGGGGTCCACACTATGGTTGGCACAGCATGTGAAGGTGGAGGCACCCATCTGGAGCCACTTCCAGTGAACGGCCAGGATGCCAGCAAGGCTCACAGAGACCAGTGTCCATCAGGCCCTGAGCTCCATTTCTGTTCCTTGAAATCTCTTCAAAACATACGGCAAAGACCCAAAGTAATCCAACATGCAAAACCCAAACAAGACCAGCCACGCCCAATGCAGACCCAGCCATGCAAATCACTGAGAACTCCCATCTGCATGTTTGAAAAGGAAGCCTTGCTCATACGAACAACCTGTAGAGAGTTTCTTTGCACTTTCCCTCTTTAAATCAGACAGAGACATCCAATCTCCACCCTCTGTGTTGCAGACGTAGAATAATAAACTGAGCCACTCAAGAGACCTGCAGCTCAGTCAGTAGAAAAACACTGAATATGAGATTATCAGAAAGAACATTCCTTTCCTCCTGGTACCAGAGGCAGCTCCTCACTGGAAGTCCAGCAGGACAACCCCTCTGCTGCCAGTCCCTCTCTGAGGAGGAAGCAAGCGAGCCGGCCTCTGCCCACCTGCCTAGATGTACAGAATGAGACCCACAGAGCAGCGAAGGGCCTCAGAGATCCTTAAGCCACAACAGCCAAGAGGCTGAAAGTCCCATCATAACCGAAACTCAATCTAGACCAAGGGCACTGTTGTCTGGGCTGCCCAGAGCCAAGAGCTGGGACAGATACAAGCTCACCACTCCCTAAGCCCAAGGGCACCCCCCCCACCTATCGCCCAATGGTGCCACTCTGGCAAGAGGTGAGGAGAGCTCTGATTACTCACAGCCATGGTAGGAGGCTGGGGAGCCCCCAGCCTTGCCGTACTCCTGCTCCGAGTAGCTGGTGGAAAGGTTGGGCTGGCTGGAGCCACGCCCAAAGGTGATCTGGTTGCTGCCCATGCCGGTGGCAACCTGGGCCATGCGCTCTTTGGTTTTGAGAGCCTGGGCCCTCTCAGCCTTCAGCCGCTCCTCATCCTTGAGAAGGGCCACTAGTTGCTTTGACTTCTCACGCACGTTGATGCCCTGGTCCTTGCCATCACGGTCGATGTACTGGAAGTCCTTCAGGGTCTGAATGGCGAAGATGTTCTCGCGACATTGCTGGGCCACGCGCTCAGAGCCTGTCTTGATGAGGTAGTCCAGCAGCGTCAGCGCCTTGTACACGTGCCGCCAGTTCTTGCCATGGTCATTGAGTCGCTTCCACACCATGCTCATGATCTCCGAGAAGGCCACCACGTTGTAGGTCAGGTCGGCGATCTCAGTCATCAGAGAACTGGATGGGCCCCATGGGTCATTGGAAGTGGCTTCCCGAACTTTGATTTCAGCCTCTGAGTAATTGTTCACAATGTTTTTCATCTGCCGTCTGATAGACGAAGTCGTCATTTTTATTTACTTTGTTGCAAATTTAAAGCCCTTCAAAGAGAGAAACTTTCCTATCTTTGGTAAAGTCTGCACCCTATGAAGGTTCAGTTTCTGTAATCGATCTGGACCAAAATCCCTGAACAGTCATTTCCTCCTCTGAAGCCTCAGATTGGAGAAGCTGGAAGCCATGACCTAGAGAAAGGAAGAAGACCCATTCCACTGTGATGCAAGCTCCCAGGGAGAATGGAGACTCTAGCCCAGCAGCAGGTACTGGGCACAACTGGGGGGTTGTGGGTACACATATCCCAGCCTCCTCGGGATGAAGCTAAGATAAAAACAATATTACCAGTTAAGAATGAATAAAAATTTAACCTCAAGTTCAGCCTTTAGAACGGAAGTACACATTATGACTATTTTTCCATTTTCAAAACACTTTCACTGGAATGGCTATCTCATTGGTTATATTTTCACTGCCTGGCAGAAGCCAGCTGTGGGAGAATTGGAATGCTGGGGGAAGTTGATCCTGGCAGATTTAAAATTACATGTGAGGACAAGAAAGTGTCTCATTTCAGGTCTATCTTAACCCAAAAATGCCTGTCTGTACTTTTTTAAATTGTTTAACATTTGACTTTGGTCCCCCATGCTTCTCACGGCCCCGGAAATTCTCCCTGAGAATCACTTTTCCCCTGACCTTCCCTGCTCAAGAATGTAAAGATTCCTGACAGCTCTTCTAGAGCAAGCCCTCTGCTTGGCTTCAGCAGCCCCCACACCTGGCCAAAGCTACTACAGACTTAAACTAATCTGGTTACAGCCCAACCCCCTCATCTCACAGAGAAAACTGAGGCCCAGGGCGACACATCAACTAGCTCCAAACATATCCCCTCTTCCTCCAGAGGAGACACACTTACCAGGCTAGAGCAAGATCCACACCTGTGACACTGAACTCTGGTCCACAAGTTTGGTGACTTCCATGTGCTCATCATCAGTGAGCACCCAGCACGGTGCCCGACACGGAAATAAACACTGTTGAATAAATGAATGTCACAGATTAAAAACAACGTCCCTGTCCTGAAGAAAGCCACAGTCTGAGAGGATAGAGGTTTCTCATCTAAAAAATGAGAACACGAAGGCCCAGAAGCCTCCAGGGACTGCCCCCAGATCCTGCAACACAGTTGGGTTCCAGACAGAAAGCAAGTGGCTCCACTCACCGCCACTGCCACCAGTTTGGCTCCCTGGGGTGCCCTGGGTAGACCAGGTCTCACCTGATGCTCATGGAAACCCTCCAGGTAAGGATTATTCTTCCCATTGTACAGATGAGAAACTTGATGCCTAAAACTCACCAGGTCAGCTAACTATAACTAAGGTACCCTGCTGGGACTTGCTTCCAGCCCAGGATATGCCACCTCCCCTCTCTTCCTGTGGCGACCTTTACTCTCAAGCTGTTCCTGACAGAGAAACAATGGACAGCCCCCATCCTCCTTACCTAAAGCCTTGGGCGGGCAATGGGCACAATCCATGCCTATAATCCCAGTACTCCAGGAGGACTGCTTGAGGCCAGGAGTTGGAGATCAGCCTTGGCAACATAGCAAGACCTCATCTCTACAAAAACTTTTAAAAGCTGGGTGTTAGCTAGCCGTGGTAGTGCGTGCCTGTAGTTCCAGCTACTTGGAACGCTGAGGTGGAAGGCTGCAGTGGCTGTGAGCATGCCACTGCACTCTAGCCTGGGCAACAGAGTGAGACTTCCACTCAAAAAAAGAAAAAAGCTGGGCGTAGTGGCTCCTGCCTATAGTTCCAGCTACTCTGGAGGCTGAGGCAGATTGCCTTGAGCCCAGGAGGTTGAACTGCAGTGAGCCATGATCAAGCCACTGCACTTCAGCCTAGGGGACAGAGTGACATCCCAACTCAAAAAAATAAATAAATAAAATATAAACAAGTAAACAAAAGGTATCAGGAGGAGGAAAAGGTCACAAGAAATGCAATGATCACTCATCACACAGCCATAAAAATAAGAAGGATATGATCTTGTGAAATACATATTTGGTCTTTATCCCCGTTTCCTAGCATACAACTCCTAAAATCCTTGGAATCGGCCTTGCTGGCAGGAGGCAGCTGGCCAGCTGCCGCTCTGGGAAGTGGGAGGCAGCAGGATGGTCAAGTTGATGGTGGAGCTGATTGAGCAGGCGGTGCAGTACACCACCGCTGTGTGGGACTGGGAACTGGACCTTCATGGCCATAAAACTCCTTTCATAGAAAATCTAGGTGCTACCTTAGACCAGTTTAATGCTATTGATTTTTCTGACAATGAGATCAGGAAACTAGATGGTTTTCCTTTGTTAAGAAGACTTAAAACATTATTTATAAACAGCAACAGAACATGCCATATAGGTGAGAGACTTGATCAGGCTCTGCCCTGTCTGACAGAACTCATTCCTACCAACGATAGTCTTTGAAACAGGATGATCTGAACCCTTTGACATATCTCAAATCACTGACTTATCTAAGTATTCTCAGAAACCCTGTAAAAAGTAAGAAGCATTACAGATTGTGTGTGATTTATTAAGTTCCACCAGTCAGAGTGCTGGATTTCCAGAAAGTGAAACTAAGAGTCTCAGGACACAGAGAAAATGTTCAAGGACAAAGAGGGTGCACAGCCTGCAAAGGATACTACCAGGAGAGGCAAAACTTTTTATCCAGGTGCTGGTTTGCCAACTGACACAAAGAAAGGTAGTTCGTGTCCAGAGGATGTAGAAGCAATCAAGAATGGTATAGCAAATGCATCAACTCTGGCTGAAGTGGAGAGACTAAAAGGCTTGCTGCAGTCTGGTCAGATCCCTGGCAGAGAACACAAAGCCCACTGATGATGGTGAAGAAGACAGTCACAAATGCGTCCTGAGCAATGTAATGGACGTGCAGTAATAGGCCCTCTTGGGACAAGTCTTGCTTTTTTTTTTTTTTTTTGAGTTGGAGTCTCGCTCTGTCGCCCAGACTGGAGTGCCGTGGCCGCTCCCGGCCACCGCAGCCTCGACCTGCTGGGCTCTGGCGATCCTTCCGCCTCACCCTTCCGAGGAGCCAGAATTATAGGCGCGCGCTACCACGCCCGGCTGATTTTTTTTATTTATTATAGAGATGAGGTCTCACTGCCCAGGCGGGTCCCGAACCCGCGGGCTCAGGCAATCCACTCACCTCAGCCTCCCAAAGGCGCGGGATTACAGGCTGAGCTACCACCGAGCCGGCTTTGCTTTTTTTTTTTTTAAGTCTTGCTTTTTTGAACATGGGATAATAGCCTTGTTTATGTCAGCAAAGTGGAATTTGTCACCATTGTTGAAATGTTTAAAACTGCTGCTGATAATTTTGTAATATAAGTTTTGAAATCTAAATGTCAGTTTTCTACAAATTGCAAAAATAAAGGCCCACTCACTGTGCTGCCAATAAAAAAAAAAATTCTTGGAATCTCCAAAGTGATGTGTCTTTATATGCTAATGATTGACTGAGGGCTGGCAGCCCCTATACAGCTTCAGGTTGGGGACTGGATTGGAGGACTGAGATTTTCAGCCCTACCTCCCAACTTGCAGGGAGGGGAGAAGGGGTAAATGTTGAGTTGATCAACAATGACCAGTGGTTTAATCAACCTTGCCTACACACTGAAGCATCCATAAAAACCGAAAAGGACAGGATTCAGGGAGCTTCCAGATAGCTGAACATGAGGCGGTTGCTGGAGGGTGGTACATCCAGGGAGGGCAGAGAAACTCTGCAGCCCTTCCCCCATACCCCACCCTATGCATCTTTTCATGTGTATCCTTTGCAATATCTTTTATAAGAAATCGGTAGGCCAGGTGCAGTGGCTCATGCCTGTAATCCCAGCACTTAGAGAGGCAGAGGCGAGAGGATTGACAAAGCCCACAGGTTTGAGACCAGCTTGGGCAACATGGCAGAGACTTCATCCCTACAATAATTTTTTTTTTTAATTAGCTGGGTGTGGTGACACATGCCTATAGTTCCAGCCACTTGGAAGGCTGAAGTGGAAGGATCACCTGAGCCCAACAGGTCAAGACTGCAGTGGCTGTGAGCGTGCCACTGCACTCCAGCCTGGGCGACAGAATGAGACTCCGACTCAAAAAAAAAAAAAAAAAACAACGAACCTGGTAAATGTAAGTTTCCCTGAGTTCTGTGAGCCACTCTAACAAATTAACGGAACACAAAGAGAGAATTGTGGGAATCCCAACTTGAATCTGGTGGGTCAGATGTTCTGGAGGTTGGGACTTGCAACTGGTGGGAAGAAGGGGGTGGTCTTGTGAGACTGAGCCCTAAACCTGTGGGTTGTAACAGTATCACTGTAGATACTGGAACTGAGTTGGAGGATACCCAGCTACAGTTCGCTATAGAACTGACTGCTTTCTTGGTGTCTAGAGAGAAATCCCCACACATTCGGCAACAGAAGTCTTCTGTGTTGATTGTTGCTGTTGAAGAATTCCTGGGTTTATGTGTTTTTCCATACAAAAAAGGGGAGAGCTCCTTAAATTTCACCTTCTTGATGATCCATACATCTGCTCCAGCCAAAGAGGCCTTTTCCCTACCCTCAAATATGCCAAGGATTCTGTCTTCCTCTGAAGTCACAGAGCTGGGGACTTCAGCTGAAAGCAGGCATATTCTGCCTCTCCACTGATCTGGCCAGCTCTCATAAATCCTCTAAACCCTGTCAAAGAACCCAAGGATAAAAACCTTTTCACAGTGACCTGCACATTTCTTTTACTATGCTTTTTCATTCATGATGCAACATTCACTGCTGGCAGAGATAAGACAGGCCTCGTAAAGGAAAAAAATAACATTTTGATTTTTAATGAGTTTCCCAACTTTAAGTGCAAATACCTGTCAAAATCAGTAGTAATGTTCAGATGTACTTAGTGGGGCCCTGCAATGTGCCAAGGGCCACAGGGTACTTCTACCTGTCATTCCATGAAAAAACAGGACAGGTATGACTGTCCAGCTACTCAGAGAAGTGGACAGAGCTGGACTCAACACTGATGAGACCCTCAGCCACCTCCCAACGAGTAGAAAGGTCTCAGATGGTTGACAGTATCTGCAGTCCTTCTCTATAAGGCCACCTTGGGGGAGTGGGAGAAAGATCTCCAGCTGGGCCCAGCGTTCTCCTAAAGAGGCTGGGAGCCTCCTAGGCTTGGTGGTAAAAAGAAAACGCAACGATTATTATGAGGGCCGATTCCTGTGAGTGAGGGCTAGGTGTTTCTGCCCTTCCAGACACAGGCTGGGAAAGGAGCTCCAAATAATTTAGAACAGGGTCTGCTGACCAAGGCAGGGGCTTTCTTTAAAAGGCTCAACTTGCAAAGACATCTATTCTATTGGTGGTCTCTTTGAAATACTTACGTTTCAGGAAGAAGGAAAAAGCTAATAAAATATTTGTTATAGTCAGAAAAAAATAAAATAAGGTCATATAATTTGCATGGCTGCCTGCTATTTTCTTGAAGCTTATAGATAAAAGTGGCTTTCAAGCCTGGTCGATAGCAAGAAGGGAGAGATCTGGGGTAAGAAATCCCCACTAGGATAAAGGACACTAAAGGTTCCTCCAAGAGACCATTTTCCAGATCAACTGGACTACGCATCTCACTTCAGTGAGACTTTGCAGATCGAAACTTCTGATTCCAACCTTGAGAGAGCCGACAACATGTGGACCACAAGGCAAGACCCCAACAGTGCCACTGGGCACCAAGCTGTGGGCTGCTTAGCCAAACACCTGAATCTCTGTGGCTTTGCCACATTTGGCCATGTACATCTCAGATCCCTGGTTTTCCCATTTTTAACCTTCTCCCCAAACCCCAACCCCCAACCTCAGGACTGGGCTGTAAACATTTAAACATCTCCTCTCCCAGCAAACATCCGCCAGAAGTCCCTCCCAAGAGCAAGTCCCAAACACATACCACCCTCAGTGACACATCCTGTTATTCCTAGAACCTGAGTTTTGTTTTGTTCTTGCTCTTTTCTGCATAGTTTGCACGCTCCACTTTCCAAAC